TCTCTCATCTGATGTGAACGTTCACAATATCTTTTTGAAAAATTCTCTCTCATCTAATATAGTGATGTGAATGTTCACAACATGTGAATATTATTATTTTTAAGTAGTGATAATATGTTGTTTTCTCCCTTTTGTGATTGTAATTGCTATAGGTAATGACAATTAACATTAAATATTAATATTATGTAATTGATAACACATCATGTAATTGACCTCTTTTTATTATAAATATTCACGTTGTATTTATATTCAAATGAAAGTTGAAGCTTGTGATTGTGTAATTTGATACAATACTGATGTGAACCTTAATATTACCTTTATCACAACATCATCTGATGTGAACATTCACACGTCATGTTTATATTCAAATGAAAGTTGAGGTTTGTGGTTGTGTAATTTGATATAATGCTGATGTGATTCTTAACATCACATTTATCAAAGCGTCATTTGATGTGAACATTCACATTCACATTCACATCCACATCATCTGATGTGAACATTCACGTCATCACGTACAGTTAATATTTGGATGTATGGGAACTACCAAAACATAATGACAATTAATAAAGAACCATATTTAATTTTTTGTGTATAATATATATCAATATTAAATAGTGGTTTGTAGTTAATGTATTTTTTTAAAGTGAAGATATGAGAAATAGGAATGGTCATGGGAATTACTAAATATAATGACAATTAACATTAAATATCAATATTAATGGTGTAGGAGACAAGAGATTGAAAGTATTTTGGTCTTTTTACTTCAAATAAGACTTAATGAAATAGTTAAAAAGAATATGGATTAGATGAAATAAAACTCTTAAAAAGAAAATTTATAAAAAAATCTCCCATAATTTTTTTTATAAAATTTATCATTTGTTCAATAAAAAAATGTGAGTAATATAATAGTGGATATGTTGGCATCATAGAGGTAGCTATATGACAAAAATCTGGAACCAGACTTTATTCACTTAAATTTTTTTTGAGCGGATAATTTTGTGATAGATATTAAATTTATATAGTGTGAGTTTTATATGTAAAATAAATTTAAATTATAAAATAATAATTTTAAATAATTTAAATAGTTAAATCTGAATACATAATTAGTGTGTTTGATTTCAGTTTTATGAATATTTTTGAAATTTGAATTTTTTTGTTTTTCGTTTTTAGTAAATATTTTTAAAATTTTAAGTATTTTTTTTTACTTTTTTAGATACACCTTAGTTAAACTGAATTTTTACATTATTTTTTATATTTTTGACATTTAGTGAATTTTTTAAAGATTTTTTTTCGCAAAAATTATAATTTTAAAATGTATTTATGTTAAATGTGTCTATAGATTAAAAAAATTACTTAAAACATTAAAAAAATTCAATAAAAAAAATACGAAAAATAAGAAAATAAAATTTTATAAAAAATATTTAAGAAAACGAAAAACAAACACACTAAATATTTCTTCACCAACTAAACTTTGAATAACCTACGGCCACTATTTCATGCACACACGAAATCGGTAGGCTTTAACACATCTGCACCAACTAAACTTTGAATAGCCTACAGCCACTATTTCACGCACACATGAAATAAAAATTAAACATTAATATTTTAAAAAAATTCCCAATATATAAAAAATAAAAAAATAAAAAAATTTCTAATCCCCTCACTATTTTTCTAATACCATCTCTACCTCCTCACTATGAATCCCCTCCCCAAGGGTATTAGTAATACCAGGCCATGTTTGATTCACTTCACTATTAGTGAAGTATTAATAATCCTATCAAATTAGTGTGGTGTTAACTATCCCACCCCTACCCCATTACTAATAATCCTACAAATTTGTTGGATTAATTATCCATTGGATTAATAATCTTAAACCAAAGTGTCAAAACAAACATAGGATGATTGGGACCACGGATTAATAATCCCAATCCCATGCTTTAATCCTTCCAATCAAACATACCCCCAAGGTATTAGTAGTACCCTCCCTATCTCTCAAAACAAACAGGCCATGTTTGTTTGGGCGGACTGGATTAGTATTCCCATGACTAATAGTCCTAAGACTATAAATTTGTTAGATTATGTATCCTATCTTAACTAATAGTCAAGTTTAAAATAATTAATTCCTATTTCAATTGTTTAACCAAACATCGGATTAATAATTTTATTGGACTATTAGTCCAATCCCAAGCTCATGTCTACCCAAACAAACATGACCATAAGGTATTAGTAATACCAAGGTATTAGTTAGTCCCAAGGTATTAATAGTCCCAAGGCTATCTCTCAAAACAAACACCCTATATACTAATTCCAAGATACTAGTAATCCTAATCCCCTTGCTATAACCCAAAACAAACGGGGCGTGAATATTTCTTCACCAACTAAACTTTGAATAACCTACGGCCACTATTTCATGCACACACGAAATCGGTAGGCTTTAACACATCTGCACCAACTAAACTTTGAATAGCCTACAGCCACTATTTCACGCACACATGAAATCAGTGGGCTTATATATAGCCAAGCCATATTTTCCACGTTTGGCTTGCCTTTAAGATGAACTAAACTAAAATAGTCTCAAGACTTGTCAAATTAAAATAGTCATGTGTCCAGTAATTGCTGTAGGTAAATGAACCACATTTTGCTAACCGAGTTTTAATGGTTAACTAATATATCTTTAGGATTCAGTTTTTAAAAAAAAAAAACAAAAAAAAACACTATGACTTTTTATAATGGATTTGGATCATAAATTTGTATATAATTTTTTTAATATAAAAAAATGAATAAAATATGAATTAAATATAATTACATGTTATCTACATTTTATCCACCATTTATCATCTTCTTAATTTTTTTTATCTCAAAATTTATGATCTAAATACCGTCTTAATCAATTTCAAAAAAATTACTATAGTAATGTCGGAATGACTATCTTTTTACATTACATTGCTTTTGTCTTCGTTTGAAATGTGAGTTTATTTTTTACATTACATTACATTGCTTTTAGTTTTTTAATTTTTTTGACTATTTTAACATGAGATTAAAAAATCTCGTTTAGGATAGATTTTTTAATTTTTTTGAGAGAAAAAATAAAATGATTATAATTTAAATGTGATATTTTTTCTTATTGAGTTAATTTTTTTTTTTCCGTAACTACTTTAGCCTAAACTTTATACGCCAAACAAAGCCTTTATCTTGTAATATGTCATCATTGTATGTCGGTAACAATGATGAATAGTGAGGCTTTATTCAAATGCAAATAATCTAAGTAATAGATTTTATAATTTATTTAATTAATATGTTGTATAACATTTTTAAAAAATTTAAAATATGATTCGCTCTAATAATGTGATAAATGTCAAACTTGTGAATGAAAAAAATTATAAAATTTATTAAATTGGGTAATTTATAATTTAGTGATACTTTTGTAAAATAATTACATATTAATGAAAAATTTTAAAATTTTAAAACTTTAATTATTAATATTTATAAAATTTAATACTAATTTTACAAAAAATTTAAATGGTAAATTACAAATACATCTCTTGAGTTTTGCTTAAAATACAGGATGTTCCCTATTGTTTGAAAAATTACAAATCCTCTATTGTCAGAATTTTTTATTTAAAACAATTAATTAAAAAAATAAAATTCATAATTGCTCTCTTATATTATGATGAAATTACTTGAATTATTAATTAAATAAAATTTTGACATCATAAAAACTATTAATTGACTTAATAATTTATTAGTAAGAATGACAATTTGTTATGAAATTAAAAATTTCCAGAGATAAGATATAATCTTCAAAATATCATAGAGGGTTGGTTTGGCATAACTTATATAATCCATCTTTTTATCTTTTTATCTTTTTTCCATCACATCACCTCTCTACTTTTCTGCACATCTTTTCGTAAAAAGACAAAAAGTGCACTTTTTTAGGACACCCCAAACCAACCCAGAGTGCATTTGTAATATAGCCAATGAAAAAATCTTAGGGGACTTACCTGTAAGCCTTAATAGGTGAACTTATCTTCCAATATAAGTCCTATGATAATTAATAACATTTTTTATCAACCACTATTAAAGAAGTCATTAATTATTAATTTTCTGTGACAGTTTGAAAATTTTGTCACAAAAATGTCACTAATTATAAGTTTTAGTGATAGTTTAAAAAAATGTCACAAAAAGTCACTAATTTTTAATTTTCAATTACAGTTTAAAAATTTGTCACAGAAAAAATTACTAATTGTAAATCTTGCAAAAAAAAAAAGTCATTAATTATCAATTTTTAATGACATATACAAAAAAAGTGTCATAAAAATATGTTTTTAGCAATAATTTTATTAAAATTTATTTTAAATAAAATTTGATAAGAATTAAAATCAACTAGTAAGAGCATCAGCATCAGTATCTTCAAAATAACAAAAAGTTAAAATATAACTAATAAATCATCAAATTCTCCGTCCATCAGTCTCAACAAATTTTTGTTAAATTAACTTTTTGTTAAATTTGCTACAGTAACTTGTCTGATGAAGCGAGGAACTGTTTATCGCTACAACACACGATTTGGGTGTAACCGGACGTCCGGCAAGTCAACCCGCTGGTCAACTGGTCAACGACAATTTTTTATTTTTTTATTTTTACATTTCCTCTAGTTTTATCTTTTGTAAAAAATAAGAATTGTTTGGTTGATAGGTCATCAATTTAATTATAAAAAAAAAATAACAAATATTTTAATAGAATTGAATTAAAATAAAGAATTTGATGTAATGAGTGACTAGTTAAAATAGAAAAATAACTTTTTAAATTATAATTTAACTCAATATTTGCTGACGCGGATACAGATGCTCTAAGAGCTACGAATAATTTACCTAAAATTTTACACATTGGTATTTTACATATATATATATATATATATATATTTTTTTTCCTTTTCTACGGAAATATATGAAAAGATAACTTTTTTTTAATGATTGCCAAACATGGCACAGCTGATCATAAATATCGTCGCACTTCAGCCACAGCACTGAGATCGGCGGTTCAGACATCAGTCTCGACACTGTCCCCTACCAATTTAAAATCTTTTAAGTCAAAGGTTCTCTCTCTCTCTCTCTACACAGTATTTGTGAATCTGTCTCCCCCCAGTGAAATCGATGATTTACTATCCTCGTGATTTGCAAACCTCCTGTGCCGTACGATCTTTTTCGGCTTCGAAGTTTCAGAACTAAACTTGGAAGCTCATTTTGTGCTCAATCGAAGAAATTGAAACCAAGACAAGTGAAGTTCTTTTGCTACAGTTGGTCCAGTTCTAATTTTCTCAGAACCCAAACATGACGCAATCTGGTAAGGCCTGAGTTTCTTCAATTTATTTATTTATTTTTTTGGTTAGTACTGGTAATGTAAACATTGTTTTCAAATTTATTTGCTTCAATTTAGGTTTGAATCGTTTTGTTCTTTGTTTTTGGTGAATTAGCACAATTAGAGTGGTTTTTTGGGGGTTGGAAATCGGGAAGTTATGATTGTTCGTTAACTAATTAAATTAGATTTTGGTGATTTATTACTAGTTTATTGGGTGTTCTGATTGGTGTATAGCATGTTCTCCTATATAGTTTATTGGGCTCACATTGTTGGAAAAGCAAACTCAGGGCAAAATTTCAGGGGTATTATTGAGGATCTTATGGCTGAGTTTGATTAGGATGAAAGTGGTGGAAAGTGAAAAAAAAAAAAAACTTTTTCTGAGTTTGTTTGGTATGAAAGTGGTGAAAACTACACAAAAATTTATTTTCCTGTACAACCATGTTAGCATGGTAACTCAATAGTCAGTTCCTAATTTCCCCACACACACACGCCCAAAAAATAAATAAATGAATAAACGAAGAAGAAGAAAAGAAAAGTTACATTTGTCTATTCAAGGGGTTCCTTATAATTAAAATTCTAATTTTTCGCTCTCTTTGTTGCATACTTTTAATCCTATTTGAATGTTTGCTGTATAACATATTTTATTTTCTGTTCGTTTTTTTATTACTTTCACTTTCTTCCATTTTTTTTTTCTCTCTCTAATAAAATAAAGGCATATAAATTAAAGCAACTAATTTTCTTGCTGCATTAAGGTATATTATATGTTAACATGTCTATTCAAGGGGTTCCTTATAATTAAAATTCTAAATTTTTCGCTCTTTTTGTTGCATACTTTTAATCCTATTTGAATGTTTGCTGTATAACATATTTTATTTTCTGTTCGTTTTTTTATTACTTTCACTTTCTTCCATTTTTTTTTCTCTCTCTAATAAAATAAAGGCATATAAATTAAAGCAACTAATTTTCTTGCTGCATTTAGGATTTTCTCTGTAATAAAGGTGAAGAAAATCCTATGTAAAGTTTTGGGAAGGCCAAATATATGATAAAATTTTAGGAAAATGAAAGCAAAATATGAGAGGAAAAACAATAGTTAGCCCCTTCAAAAATGGTAGTAAGGTTGCATTCATCTTATCCTCATCAGACCCCCATTTGGCGGGAGCTTCATGTACCGGGTTGTCATTTTTGTTGTTGTTTGTTTTTCATACCACCAGAAAAGGAAGTTTCCAAATGAAGATTTATATCATATATATGACTGCTATTTCCGGTCCAATTTCAGGTTATAATATTAATGATCTTGTTCGAGAAGCTCACACCCGGTGGCTGAAGCCTGCGGAAGTGCTCTTTATTTTACAAAATTATAAGGAAGAGCAACTAACCCATGAGCCCCCCAAAAAACCAGCAAGTAACCTTCTTATTTGCTCTATCTTATTGCAAGTTGCAACATTGCATGAAAGCCTATTTATGTGTCACATCTATTGTGTATGCATGATTATTTCCATTTCACTGATTGGATTCTTCAACAGGTGGATCTGTTTTTCTTTTTAACAAGAGGGTCCTTCGTTTTTTCCGCAAAGATGGTCATAGCTGGCGTAAAAAGAAAGATGGGAGAGCTGTTGGTGAAGCGCATGAGCGGCTCAAGGTTTGAAACCAAATGTCAATACAGTCATATACTTGTTAGAACTCCTCTGAAAAGATGCTAGACATTGCAATGCATGCATGCATGTGCCATTCTGATGTGCCAATTTAAAATTATAAAATCACAAATCAATAGTCAATAGATGTTCCAAGTGTTTTGAATGTGTTTTGTATTTGTAACACACAATCTCTTTTGTTTTTACCTGCAATTTTAGATGTCTATGAAGTATGCTAATGATGTTTGGGATTAGTCCAAGTGTAATGTTCTCATTGTTTGATGTTCAGCCTGAGTGAAGTCATTTTACCTGATATTTTTGTGTTGCTAGGTTGGAAATGTTGAAGCTTTAAATTGTTATTATGCACATGGGGAGCAGAATCCAAATTTTCAGAGGCGTAGCTTTTGGATATTGGATCCGTGAGTGTACTTTGTATCTCTTACCTGACTGTACATTTCTTATTCATTAATTTTTATCTGAAACCTTGTTCCTGAGATTTAGTGGTTGTAAGATTTGTGACTCAGTACATCTTACTGAAATATAAGAAAATGGCTATTTTTTTCTGAAATATTGAGCTTACAGTGTTTATAATACTTTTAAGTACTATGTAGCTTTCATGTGAACTGAATAAAAGATATGGATTATTTTTTACACGTGTCAGAGTTAATCCACCTTTTCTCCCTCTAATTTCATTTCATTTCTTTTTTCTTTTTCTTCTAACTTTAATGTAATTTTTGGGATTTTGGCAGGGCGTATGAGCATATTGTTCTTGTTCATTATAGAGAGATTAGTGAGGTAAGTTTCTTGAACCTGGTTGTGGACAAGGCAGGTGTAAAGACAATTATACCTGCTTGTACCTTGTGACATACACACTGAACCTTTTCACCTAGCATTTTATCAAGAAAAAATTCTTATTCTTCTTGTTCCCAACTCAATATCCCTGGCTTAGATTGTTCATTCTATGTCTAGTTAATTGCATTTCATTCTTATGCTTCTAGTCAGAGTTGCTTTGTTTGGCCTGAGGAATTTGTATTCCAAGCCCGCTATTTGAAACCTGCTGGGCCTGGAATTACCACTCTTAATGAGAGACTTTAAATTATGTATACACCTAAAAGATTTTTGGTAACTGCTACTTGACCATTAGTATAATAGGGCCAAGATGGATTGGTCATTCTGTAAATCATTATAATATTGTTACTTAAAATTTTCCATCTTCACGTGGATATATTTTTACAGTTGGTAATTTTACATATAGGGAAATTCTAGGCATGATTTGTGTATAAAGTATGTAGAAATATGTGAAAGTGTGTTGAACATGTGAAAAGTGCATTGAGATTATAACTATTTTGGCATTTTCACCATTTAGCATGAACCTAATATATAAGGCTCAGTTGATGAAATTGTGAACCGAAAAGAGCGATTTGTTGTTCTTCTCTGGATGTTTAATTCAAAGATCATTTACAGCTGTAGGCTTGTAGCCATTGTGCATAACTTGAGCTTCAATATTGACATTGACAGTTGTATTCATTACTTGCAGGGAAGGCATAGTTCTGGATCCATTTCACAGTTGTCACCAGAATCCCCTTCTACATTCAGTCAGAGTCCCAACTGCTATACTGCTCAACATCCTGGTTCTACTATTGTTAGTGAACTATATGAACCACATCAGAGTCCAGGGTCTGTAGAAGTTAGTTCTGATGCAGTTGTCAAGAGTAATGGGATGGATCACTTGGACTGGATTGAAAGAAAGGGAGAGATGAGTAGTTCATCTGAGCTTGAAGTTAGTCAAGCATTGCGAAGGCTTGAGGAACAGTTAAGTTTGAATGATGATAGCTTGGAAGAAATTGGTCCATTCTGCAGTGAGAATGAGAATTCAAATGATTCAGAATGCGTCATAAATGATCAATATAAATCTTCTGCATCACTGGATGATGTAAACACTCTTGCATTAGGAAGAGAGTCAGGTTTGTCTCGTTTGGTGCTCAGTTTAGTCAAAAAAACACTTGTACACATCTGTTTGTTTTCTTAACATCTATACTGTTGTGTATCAGGTTTTAATCAAATATATTTGACATATCTTTTCATATTGGATTCGTTATTGATCTCATATCTTGCTGAATCTGATTTGGTAGGACGGGTATTAGTTTGGAACTCGTAGCATCATCAGTTAGTAGTTAGTACAGTATGCGTTCTCATTTTTGTCAGGCTAGTCTGCATCATTATATTGGGATTTTCTATAAAGTTATAGTTAGGGATGTCTCGTATTCTACTTGGTTTGTGCATATAACTCATTTGCGACCCGCTTGACATGAGCCCCAGCTGATATATCCAATCCGGTTCTTGTTGTATGCAGATCTTAGTATATATGTGTTGGTTATTTCGTAGATTAGGATTATGAACTGATATAGACAACTTTGAAGAATTACAACTGCACTTTTGTATTTTCTCCTTCTTTTGGTAGTGAAACCCTTTGCCATTCTTCACCTGTGGATGTAGGCTTATAGCCGAAACATGTATATCTTCTGTTGTTGTGTGATTGCTTGTTTTACTTTCTCGTTTTCATTTGTTCCATCATAACAGTTACTGCAGCGTGCCAGGCAAGTGATGCTTAGGCTGGAAAAGATACCCACTTAGACATCAAACTAAGATGCCTAGGAATGTGTTTTCACATTACTGTCCAGTTCTGGTAGGACCATTCATGAAATGTTTAAAGATAAAGATACACAATCAAATATGTAGTTAGAGGGCCCTAATTTAAAAAATAAAAATAAAAAATCTAAGTGGAAATTTGGAATGATTGTTTTAGCTTTTGTTGCCTTCATATATAAATAAATAAGGATAGAGGCTTTCCTTCAATTCTTCAGTCTTATCTCTGTGGACACAGGGAGTGAAAACCGCAGTCACACTGTGATGCCACCATATTTAGAAGAAAAAAAATTCATGTCTTTATGATAGTTTAGTTTCAATTTTGTCGGCTTTTGGTTGAGATCACCCACACCTGATATTTTGCATCCTACTTGGGCAACAATTATTTTTGAAATCCTTTGTCTTGTCCTTTTGTTTTCTAACAAGACATTAACTAAATTTAAAGTTTCCAGTTCCCATGTTGCCATAATTTGTTCACTTATTTGTTTTACTTGTCTAAGCCTCTTGCAGAGTGTCTTTTCAGCTTTCGATTCTGTTTGCTCTATCCATTTACTTCCTTTTTTTCATTGATTCTCAAATGTTATATAAACAATAAATGGGAAAAGATAATGGATTTTTTGTTGGGGTTCTTTTTCTTTTGTGGTTTCCTTTTTCAGGTGGCAATGAGAAACATAATCATCAAGCATTGGCACAAGAATTTATGGTTGAACGTAAAGGCTCTTTATCTTGGAAAGAGATGCTGGAGTTCAATGGAAGTTCACCAGGTGCTGAGTCCCAAGAGAAAACTTTACATTCTTCAGATGGAAATGTAAGAAAGAGTACTGATTTATTTTTAAATTTTTTATCAATTCACTTTTATAATATCCGTTTGAAGTAAACTTGTATCCATATCTATTCTTGTCATTATACATGGTAACAACAGGTCATGGTCGTGGTCAGAATTGACTATAATTTTTTTTCTACAAAAACTTGATGTATCTAATCAAGAGTGGCATTGAAGTAATCAAATATTTAGTAATATCAGAAGCAACATTCGGCATTCTTTTGGGTTGCTCGAGTATCTCTACTCTAGCTAATTTCTCATTCAACCCCTAATTGGTTTTCTCTATAATTTCTCATTCAACATTCGGCATTCAAGAATTATGCCATTCTTGTAAATCAAACTTTGTATTTCTTCCGTAATGGTTGATACTTTCAACAGGGAATGCTACTACCCCACTCAAGGAGCAGTATGCTAGAAGAGCAAGAAATATGCCAGTGGATAAATTTTGGCAGACATTATTCTAATAAGCATAATGATTTCCCAACCTCTGGTAATGATAAGAATCTGCAACTTTCAGCACCCAGCAAATATCCAACAAGCTCTGAGAGCCCCTTGGCATTACCAGCTTCCATATTACTGTCTCAAGAAATTGAAAATTTCAGATTTCCTTCATATTCTACTGTAGAAAATAATCATCATTACTTCACAGAATTATTTGATCAAGGTCAGATTGGTATACATCTTGAGGCTGATTCAAGTTTAACTATTGCACAAAAACAGAAGTTTACCATTCGAGAAATATCTCCAGATTGGGGTTATGCCGGTGAGGCTACAAAGGTATGTTTAATAGAATATATGTTTAACAGAAATCTTTTTCATATCTTGTTTGTTTTGTTGTGTTAGTGGTATTTTCCCAGTATTGACTTGTAAATGGACAGGAGTGATTGAATGTTGGTTTTGGTACATCTTGTTTGTTGAATTGTTGGGCTCTGTAAAGCACTAACACTTCAAAATGAGTGCCGTGTCACGTATGGGACACCGACATGCCAGGGACACGTGTGCCCTGTGTTTGGACATGCTTGAGGACACCTTTGTCAGTTACTTTTTTATAATTTTAAAATGATGATTTGGGTCAAAACAAAGTATGTGAACCAAAGAGGGAGGAAAGTGAAAAAAAAAATACCCACATGTACATTGATGCCTCTTGTATCTCTTATACATAACAAATGAATATAAATAACAAATATCTCATATACATAACAAATGAATATAAATAAAAAATATTTTTTTTGTCGTATCCCCACCATGTCTATATCATAATTTTTTCAAGATTGCCTTGTACCGTGTCCATGTCTGTGCTGTTTAGTTGAGCCTATGTGGAGAATGTGAACCTTGGTTTGCTTTAATTAATTTGCCAACTCTATACTCAAGAATCAGCTAAATGCTGCTTTAGTGAGGGATTATGGAGCACTAACCGATCAAACTTGTTGGAGATCTGCACTTTATTGATTTTCCAGAAGCAAATTTCCAATATGTAACTATGACATAATTGCTGATACACGATATTGTCAGGCGGAGTAAGTTCAGATTACTGAGTTAACGTTGCTTACTGCAGGTTGTCATTGTTGGATCTTTTCTCTGTGATCCATCAGAAGGTGCATGGACTTGCATGTTCGGTGACATCGAAGTTCCGGTTCAGATTATCCAAGAAGGTGTCATATGTTGTCTGGCTCCTCCCCGCCTTCCAGGAAAAGTCACTCTTTGTATTACTTCTGCCAATCGGGAGTCCTGCAGTGAAGTCAGAGAGTTTGAGTACCATGCTAAGCCAAGTAGTTGTGCTCACTGTAGTTCATCCATGAAGGAAACAACTAAGAGTCCCGATGAATTGCTCTTACTTGTCAGGTTTGTGCGGATGCTTCTATCTGATCCTTCGGTGCAGAAGGGAGACAATACTGAATCAGGAATATATCTATGGGACAAATTCAAAGCTGATGAAGATTCATGGGACCGTGTTATTGAGGCTCTTTTATTTGGCAATTGGACTTCGTCTAGTACAACAGATTGGCTTCTGCAAGAACTTTTAAAAGACAAGTTGCAACAGTGGCTTTCTTCCAGATCTCGAGGAGGATGTAATCAGCCGGGTTGTTCCTTGTCCAAGAAAGAGCAAGGGATAATACACATGGTTGCTGGATTGGGCTTTGAGTGGGCCTTAAACGCAATTCTCAATTCTGGAGTCAGCGTAAATTTCCGAGACATTAATGGCTGGACTGCCCTTCATTGGGCTGCCCAATTTGGAAGGTAATAATATATATACATATTGTTTGTAGAACCATGTAAAAGATGTATGATTTTTGGCACTTTATAGAGGAAACACTTGGATTAAATAAATCTTTTGTAATGCTCAACAATACATAAGCACCAGCATTTAATAAATCATGTTGGGCTTGCTTGATGTGATGGTAAAAGTTTTTTTCTGTCAAAGGTGAGACTTAAGAAGCACGGACATGGACACACCGACACAAAAGAATTTCAAAAAATGTAGGACACAACATGAGGTGGATGTGTGCAAAATATATGATTTTATATATTTATTATATGTTATTAATTTGTATATTTAAGTTGAAAGATAATTAAAATTTTGAAGTCTAAAGGTGAAGAATACGTATATATTTGCATTGTTTTTGTTTTACCATTGGATTTCAAGTTTTTTTATTCAAACTTAAAATGTGTTTTATGTGCGTCGACATGTTGGCAAGTGTCTCACAAGTGTCGTGTCATGTCATGTCGGTGTTAGACATGGTGTGGACATGACACATTACCTTCTTAGAGGTGCCCGTGCTTCTTAGAGTGAGACTTTGAAGTCTCAGGGATGCTATTTTGCATGAATATAGCCAACTAGGTCTGAGCCTACTCTACCTCTGCCAACTAAATCGTTACAATTCATTTTATACCAAAATTTTTAACTTGTGAACACACACATGATAAAGCCAAATGTATATTTTCCTATGTCTCAAATTATTAGCTTTATTGACCAAACATGTTGCTCATATTGCCCTGACTAGGAGGCATCAATTTGTTTCTTCCTCGTACCCAATTTCTCAGAAGAATTGATGATAACCATGTTTATATGCAGCCTTTCAGTTGACCATAGCAAAGTATTTTTAGGGACATAATAAGTCTTAGGTGAGTTTTTATGTTGATAGGCCTGTGGACTATCACTAATAAGTTGTGCAGATAAGCATTTTGGAAGCTTGAAAATTATTCTGAAGCAGTGCCTCTCTGAATGCTTTTTCAACAGGGAAAAAATGGTTGCTTCCCTCATAGCATCTGGTGCATCGGCTGGGGCAGTGACGGATCCCACTTCACAAGATCCAACGGGTAAAACACCGGCATTCATTGCTTCCACCAATGGACACAAGGGACTTGCAGGTTATCTTTCCGAGGTGGAACTAACTAGCCATCTTTCATCCCTCAAACTGGTAGAAAACGAGCTGTCCAAAGGCTCTGCTGAGGTGGAAGCAGAAAGTGCCGTAAACAGTATCTCGCAGAGGAGTGTTGCTACAAATGAGGATCATCTCTCTCTTAAAGACACTTTAGCTGCACTCAGGAATACAGCTCAGGCTGCTGCACGTATACAAGCTGCGTTCCGTGCACATTCTTTTAAGAAAAGGCAACAGAGAGACGCTAGTTCTGCTGCTGCAGTTGCTAGTGTAGATGAGTACAGTATTCTTTCAAATGATATTCAAGGGATTTCGGTTGCATCGAAGTTGGCTTTTCGCAATGCACGTGATTACAATACAGCTGCTTTATCTATTCAAAAGAAATTTCGGGGTTGGAAAGGTCGCAAGGATTTTCTGGCATTTCGCCAGAAAGTAGTGACGATACAGGTATCATGTTTCTCTTTTAACTAATCCAAACTCTCGTGACCAATGATTTACATAATTTTCAATATACACTATAGAGAAATCTGTAGTCATAACCCACTTCTCCCTTTCAATTGTGTTACATGGACTCTTCTATTTCCTCCAAAACACCTGTGCCGTGTTTATCGGATATGACAAGGATAAGGGGATGGGATGTGTCTGACACCTGTACAATTTAGACACTTGAATCCTCTAATTTTTATAATGTTTGAAGGAGAAAAAGCACTCACATTTGGTAATAAAGAAACATTTCTAGCATCTCACCTGGATGGGATAGGAATTCCATATATATATATATATTAATCTTATTTAATTTCTAATACATTTCTACATAAATTACAACATCTTATCTAAGAATATTATATAATACGTAATATATGTGTCCATGACTCATCCCTGTATCTCTATTGAACTCTTAAATGCTTATCATAATATCCTAAGATTTAGGTTTGTGAATGTCTGACATTTGGACACGCACCCAAACCTGATACTCATACCATACCGAGTCCATGTAACATTACTTTAACCTTTTGTCAAATTGACAGAATTATCTTATACATTCATGAACTTTTGACATATGTAAATCATCTGTACAACCCTCATAGAAAATACAGATTACTATGTTTCTTATTTTCTTCTATGCCAGCATCGAGGTGGAACTTGCATTGGATGTGCACGAGACATGCACACTCAGTCAAAATCACTAAAACCCTTCCAATTAGTTAATGAAAGGGGGCCAAAAGTACTGCTCTTACACAACTACTTGTATTGACAGGCTCATGTTAGAGGTCATCAGGTTAGGAAGCAATATAAGGTATTCTGTTGGGCTGTTGGTGTTCTAGAAAAGGTTGTACTGAGGTGGCGCCGGAAAAGAGCTGGATTGCGGGGATTTCGGCACGAGACAGAGTCCATTGATGAAAGTGAAGATGAAGACATTCTCAAGGTGTTCCGCAAACAGAAAGTGGAAGGAGCTATTGATGAGGCTATCTCAAGAGTGCGGTCCATGGTTGACTCTCCAGATGCACGCCAGCAATATTGCCGTATGCTTGAAAGGTACCGCCAAGCCAAGGTAATTTATCTTGTTTTAGACACTGCACAAAAATTATCTTTTATTAAGCTGTCTAATCTGACGTCCAACGTGTGAATTCTGAATCTTGGCCCTAGAGTGTTTATTATTATAGAGTGGAACATGGGCTCAAAATTTGATCTGACATCTTCACATGCAATTCTGGCTTGCACGTGGAGATGCAAACATCCAAATATGTTAAAAACATAATGCAAACGGAATGACTTGAACGCAAGCCATCTCTCTCCCTTAACTTGAGCTCTGATAACATGTTAGTGTTATACATAGTCAGGAAATAGGCTTAATATTGTATATCAAGCTATCCAACATTCTCCCACACCTGCAATCCTGTTTTGCACATGGAGATGCAACCATAATAGGTAGAAAGAAGCTTAAGTTGTTAAGAAATGGGTACAACAATATATATCAACATTCTCTGTCACGTGCAACCTTGTCTTGTACGTGAAGTACAAGCATCGTATATAAAGAGGAGAAGGATTGCACACAAGGGCCAAACGTGAATGGAGAGACTTGAAGGTAATCTCTGATATCATATTAGATCTGATTGACCCAAAAGCTTACAACTGTTAGGAAATAGGCCCAACAATATATATATCAAGCTATCCGACCGTCAGATCACCATTACTTTTAGAAGCTTAAGCTATTAACAAATGGGTCTAACAATACATATTAAACTCTCCTAGAAAAATGTCTTCTATGGGTCTCAAACTCACATGGATGTTGGATCTGCTTATAAAGCTCTACAAGCCAACTATTACAGCCCTATTCTATTTTTTTGATCTTCCATATGGATGATAGCTCTTTCCTTAATTCTATGAACACACTAAGTTGACAATGTAGCCAGTTGATTTTCTTGGCTTAATTATACAAGCAATTTATGTTTTCAGTCTGGTGCCTTAACATCTATAATTCATATCGAAGAATCCCCGACTTCAAGTTTGCGATCATATGATTTACTGGTCTGTTAAATTAATCTTTGCAGGCTGAACTTGATGGCACGGAAAGTGAAGTAACATCGACTTCTCAGAGTGATGTTTGCTATATGGATAATGAAGATACATATCAGTACCCTTAGATGCAACTTCTAATCCTCTTTTAGTTTACTATTCTTAGCATAAGCTGGTAGATGGTTTTTCTGGTTCAGTCTGTATATTGTGGTTGGATTTGCGATTTTAAATGGTTTTCATTGATGATCACTTTTAAGTCCATAGATTGATATTGTAAATGCTCTTTGTAATCTCTGTAAATGGTTATGGACGGATTTGATAGGCTGTAACCACAGCTCTCTCTCTCTCTCTCTCTCTCTCTCTCTCACACACACACACACACACACCATGTTTTTTTCTGTTGAGAGTCGTTACTAACTCTCCTCACTCTCTAGAATTCTCTCTCTAGAATATTCTAGAAGTTTCTACATGAATCTAGAATATTCCAGAAAGATCTAGAAGATTCTGAAAAGACCTAGAGAAATTCGGAAGATTCTAGAATATCTTAGAAGGTTCCAGAACATTAAAGAAATTTGAAAAAAACTAGAGAAATTTAGAAAGTTTAGGAAAGTTCTAGAATATTTTAGAGAAAAATAAAAAGTTCTAATATGTACCAGAATAATCTAGATTGTTTTAGAGTGTAGGGTAAGTATGAGTGTATTCTTGAAAGTTCTTTAACTGGTATAAATATGAGATGAGTGCATGTAATTGGTAATTGGACAATTGAGTGAAAGAAGAGTGAGTTCAAAGTGAGTGGTCAAGTACTATCTAGCGTGAATTGTTTCAAGGTCTTGTGTGAGGAAAACACTAAGTGTGAGTGCTTGAATGTATATGTGAATGGATAAGTAAAGTATATTAGTGTGATTGTGTACAAGTGTTTTGTGTACTAGAGTGTTATCAATAAATGTTGTATTTCTAGGTTCACCAGTGTGTCAAACTCAACAATTTAGTATTAGAGCTTGGTCGTTCGGGGATCGACACGAAGAGTGATTGCGATTGATACAAGAGATTGTTGAAGTCAACGAGCACAATTGTTATGGTGGATTTGGGAAACTTCATCAGTGGTATGGAGAAATTAAATTATTATAATTATGATTATTGGTGAATATATATCGAGGCGTATATTCAAGGAGAGGATCTACGGGAGATTGTTGACGGCAAGGAAACTGCATTACCTAGAGAAGAAAATGCAAAGGCTTTGCGAAAGTGGCAGATTAAGGTTGGAAAAACAATGTTCGTGTTGAGGACAATTGTTTAGAAAGAGTTATTAGAGAATGTTCGGGAGACTACTACTCCAAAAGCAGTCTGTGACACATTTGCCACGTTATTTTCGAAGACAAACGATACACGACTTTAGTATCTAAAGAACGAGCTTGCAACAGTGACATAAGGATCAATGACTACTAGTCAATATTTTTTCAAGGTAAAGACTATTTGCAATAAAATTTTACAACTTAATCCCAAGTAAAAAATTAGTGAGTCAAGAATGAGGTGCATTATTACTTGAGGTTTAAGACCCGAGTGTAGTGGACTTATGACTGTTGTTAGAGGGTGGTCCATTCAACCATCACTGGTCGAACTCAAAAGTCTATTGGCGAATCAAGAAACTCTAGCAAAGCAAATGGCTGGAGTTACACTGAAAAATGAAAAATGAAAATAAAGAAGAGGCATTATTTAGTAGCAAGAAAAAAGATGGACCAAAGTGGCAAGAATATGGAAAATTGAAGAAAGAAGAAGATGAACAATCATAAGATGATCGAAGTTATCAACGAGGAGGAGTTCGACATGATAAAAATGATCAAAGAGTTACTAGATTTGGACGATGCAACATAGAATGCTTCATATGTTGCAAGATTGGCCACTAAAAGATTGTCGGTCAAGAAAAAGACCAATTGAAGGTAATATGGTAACATCTAATAGTTACCAAGATGAAAGTAAAGAAGAATGCAATTTCCAAGCTTAATGTGCAATGTTCGACACCATGGAACCAGGTTACTTAGAAGAAGAGCCAGAATTTGAAGAATAATAGGGTTTTGAAGCATCTCCTACAATGTTCGTGATTACTGAAGCAGATTCAGAAGAGGAGATAGACTTCGATAAAGGCGTACATGAGCAGTGCAATGCAGTTATCTAGGAAGTGGATGCACACTCTATCATAGATAAGTCGATTTTTGACATTGAGTCTCAGTTTTCAATATTTAAAGATCCAGAAACTCACCTACTAGAGAAGTTGGGGGAGCAAACAGAAGAAGAAGTAGTTAAAGAAGTGATAAAGTTGCAACATCCAATATCTCCAAGGAAATGCCAACCTAATCCAAGGTACGTTGATGCAACCTTTGCTAAGATGGATGATATAAAAGAACCAATAACATTTCAGGAAATAACAAAATTTAACAATTGGAGGAAGACAACAAAATAAGATATTAATTCATCAACACATATTCAAACATGGCACTCATTATCTAAATTGGAGGATGAGAATCCTACAGCTGGCCAAGGACGTGGTGTTCCACGAAAGCATAAATCACTTCAAAAGAGAGAAGTCAATATTGGAAGAGATGGAGACAGTTTATCGTGGCAGAGGACTAGGGTGCAAATATACTCACAAAGAGTTTTTAAAACAACGTGGCATTGTTACATAATTTAGAAATGAGAGTTAGTGCTGAGAGGGAGTGTTGAGAGTCATCACTAACTCTCTTCACTCTCTAGAATCTTCTCTCTAGAATATTCTAGAAATTTCTACGTAAATCTAGCATACTTTGAAAAGATCTAGAAGATTTTGGAAAGATCTAGAGAAATCCAAAAGATTCTAGAATATCCTAGAAGGTTTCTGAACATTAAAGAAGTTTAGAGAAAACTAGAGAAATCTAGAAAATTCCGTAAGGTTCTAGAATATTTTAGAGAAGAATAGAAAACTCCAATATGTATCAGAGTAATCTAGATTGTTCTAGAGTGTAGGGTAAGTATGAGTGTATTCTAGAAAGTTATTTAACTAGTATAAATATGAGATGTGTGCATGTACTAGATAATTGGACAATTGGACAATTGAGTGAAAGAAGGGTGAGTCCAAAGTGAGTGGTCAAACATTATTTAGTGTGAAGTGTCTCAAGGTTTTGTGTAAGGAAGATACAAAGTGTGAGTGCTTGAATGTATATATGAGTGGATAAGTAAAGTATAATAGTGTGTGATTGTGTACAAGTGTTTTGTGTACTAGAGTGTTATCAATAAATGTTGTATTTCTAGGTCCACTAGTGTGTCAAACTCAACATTTTAAACCCTTTTTTTTTCTCTCCCCTTTTTAGCAATATATAAATTCCAGGATGAAACCATAAAATCTTTTTTTATTATTTGTGGCCATGCCCAATAACTCAACATAAAATCCTTGAAGTTGTGGGTTTAAAGCCCATCCAATGGGGGATTGACTTGTGCTGTCATTTTTTTTTGTTTTTTACGTTAAGCCATATAACTATTGAAATCTTTGCCATAGTTTGGCAGCACAATGGGCTTTGTAGTTGTGTGGGTCGTTGTGGGTTGCAATTGGGCTCGACGCACGTCCCAGCTTAAAAAACAGGCCTGATTTGGGCTCTATTTTATATTGGGCAAATTACGAAGAAGTCTTCTTTGAAAAACATGTAGCTTATTTAGTCTCATAACTTTTTGTTTTTACTCAAAAGTCCTATAACGTTTCTCTTCTTCTCTGTCTCTTTTGCTCTTTATGATTTCCGGGGATTGTTGACGGGCAACCATATCTTGCTCTTTCTGTTTCTCTTTTTGATATAGTCACTAGCGACCGACGACTACCATCCACTGGGGTTCACCTGTAACCACTGATTGCCGACTCCTTACTTCACTCTTACCAACGGTGAAGATATGTTTCCGACGAAGAAGATGAGTAGATTTACTTAGATCTGATGTAGATCTGTGGGCTCGCCTTTTTTCGCACCCCCGCCTTTCGAAAAAGAGTTTGAACAGAAGGCCTCACAGTTCGGACTCTACCTGTGGTTTTGAATCTAGTCGCACAAGTGCAATGTGAAACTGACAAGCACCAAAGAGTCCAAATCCGGCAAATCTTTTGAAAAACTGATTTTAAGTCAAATAATGCCAAAATTGGATTGTTTTGCCAGATTACAGAGTCGCCACCAAAATATTTTGTTTTGGGAAAATTTAGGAAACCCTGACTCGTGCCAAAGGTCACGTGTTCGTCATCACCAAAGTTGTCTTGGCTCGAGAACTTGGGTACGAAAGGGGAAGGTCTTGAAATGAGTACCCCTGCTCGCCCAATCAAAGGATCAGCCTCTACTAATCATGATATGTCATTTTATAAACCTTGTGTGTTCTTATTCCAGTTATTAGCTAACTTTACTATGTGACACACACAAGCAAGTATAGACTAAGTCACAAGATTTATAGCGATCCTAGTTTTTCCCCCATTGATTATAGTATTCCGGACTTGGGTTCCGTGGTGTTGGTTGTTATTATGTCTTGTTTCTGTCCTTCAATTCTTTATATATTAGTTTTAGGATGTGTTGGGCAGGTTTGTTACAGGTTGGTTGTGTTTGGGAACAAATGGTTGTTGTCCAGATTTTGGTGTCTTCGCTCGAGCGAGACTTTTGTCGCTCGAGCGAGCTCTGTGTTTTAGTTCCTTCGCTCGAGCCAGGGTTCCTTTGCTCGAGCGAGAGTTGAGTTTTGTGTCTGGTGGCTCGAGCGAGGAGTCTTGCGCTCGAGCTTGCGTTTGTGTCTGGTTCTGGACCTGAGAGTTGCATTTCTTGGCTCGAGCAAGCTTTCCTTCGCTCGAGCGAGCGAGCTGTATGTTTTGGGTTTCTTCACTCGAGCGAGCTTTTCTTCGCTCGAGCATGCTTCTGGTTGCAGACATGAAGCTTCAAATTGTTGGCTCAAGCGAGGCTTTCTACGCTCGAGCGAGTATCCTTTGTGTGAGCGACCGCTCCTTCGCTCGAGCGAGCCTGGTGTATTTCTATTGACAGTAGCAGGATTACACTTCACTTTTTCATCTTCTTTTTCTCTAAAACTCTAGATTCGTCCTCTCTCTCTCTCTCTATACACCTTTTCTCTAAGGTTTCATCTATTTTTAGTGATCTTCTACCCTTATCTCTTTGTAAGAAAGATAGAGGGTCGCGAGGGCTTCACTTTAATCTGAAAATTTGTGGATTTGGAGCACTTCGAGTTTACATCATCTTCTCCTTTGGTTTCTCCATTTCGAGGTAGGGATACCCTACTCCATCTTATGAGTTTTGTCATAAATTTTGGTCATTTTGATTAGTTGGTGTTGTTGGGTAA